CCGCGGACCCTGCCGGCGGCCCACCTCCCGCGGCCCCCCTGCGGCCCTGGGGTGCCGGCATCCCCCGGCTCGCCCTCCCGCTCGCCAAAGCGAGTCCCTTCCCGGGCGGGGGACGGCGGAGAGACGGGAACCGCTGCCGAGAAAGCGCGGAGAGGCTGCTTCTAGCCGGGGCGCTTGCCTTGAAAGGTCGCTGAAAATCGGTGAAAACCACAAAACATCTTCAGAAGTGATGTTTTAAAGCCTGATAAAGTTTAAATAAACTACTCCCTTCTCTCGACTTGCCGGATGGTTTTTTTAACAGGAGTCTGCAACAGATCACCTCAACTAAGGAAAAGCAAAAGCAGTTTCTCTCGGACAGCCAGTTCTCCTGCAGTGTCGGGCAACGTAAGGGAATTAAAAACTACTTTTATTCGGAGCTGCCTTACAGTCTCGAGCCTTCTTCTAACATCAGATAAGTTCGGTCTCTCTCGTTAGCAGTAAGACTACCTTTCACCCATCGACAGAAGATTAGCAAAGTTATTCTTTATTTTAAACAAAACCAGCCTCCCCCCTCTCCACGGGAACAGTATTAGAAAGAACCGGCTTGGGGGAAAATGGCACACTTGACACACGAAGCTTGTTTTTGGAAGACTTACATAAAAAGAGCGGACCAGATCCTGACAAGGACCACCCATTCTGGTGGGCTTGCCCAGAATTTAGCACAAGCACAGCATGTATTTCAGCAGTATCAAAAAGGCAGAACTATTTTCTGTGAGATTTCTGCAGAAAAATGTTACATTTCAGTCTTAGTTCAGTTCATAGACCTCACTAGCATAGCCAGCTTCCAAAGCCAGCTATCCTTCTTCCCAGTCATCATGCTGGGAACTATTAGAAAGTACAGCTCGGTGCTGGGGTGAGACCTTGTAGCAATTGGAGGAAGGCTGATGCCAAGAGCTCTCAATGAGAGCCCGGCAGGCTTTAGGACTGCCAGGCAAGCGAGTGCGCACGAAATGACCCCGTGAGTATGGAGGAGTGTTGGGGAAAACCACACCGGACCCGCAGCGCTGGGCTCCTCACCCGAACTGAGAGAAGCCGTGCATGCCCAGGGGTATTGCTGGGTGCAGTAAGGGGCCCTCGGTGGTCACGGGGATCAGTCGCGTTGAAGAGGACGTGTTATAAATTTCCCGGGTTGCAACTAGCAGCGGAGCTGGTACAGGCAGTGCAAGAAGGCAGGGCGAGGTTTATAAAATGGAACGACAGAGGTACGCATTAAGGTGCGACTATTTGAAGATGAAAATTGGTAAGGAAGGAGAGGAAACCCTGGGTACCACTGAAATAAAACAACAGAGGTAAACCAGAAGAGAAATAATATTAATTCTGTACACAAGGAGTATAAGAACTTCTTTTTTTTTTTTTCCAGACACTGGGGTAAACGTGAATGGAAGGAGAAGTGATGTTTGGAAACCTAACCTGCAGTCTGCTTCCAGAAGCCAGGGGCTGAGCGCAAGCCTGCATTGCGCTTCATTGCCGCCAGCTGTGCTTGTCCACGAGGCCCCGCAGCCGCTGTTGGCTCTGCCTATGGCTGGTGGGGAGGGGATGCAGACGTAGCAGTGCTTCCCTCTACTTTTTGAAACGTGTTCCTGGATAAATATTCTTTCTCACCAGAGGCCGTCTCCAGCTTGCCTGCCTTTTATTTTTCAATCTTCAATTTATTCTTTTTTTTTTTTCAAGCTACTGTTCTTGCTCCCTTTCTTGCCTTGCCTTTTCTTACCTTCCTTCCTTTCCCCGTTCCCACTACAGAGCCTGACATCAATGCAAGAGCAAGACTGACTTCTTGAGGACCAGTGTAATGCTCACCTGACACAGAACTGCAGCCTCTCTTTTCCTCCACCTCTTTACAGAACCTATGGGAAGCATTCTCCTGATCTCTGCTATTTTAAATTCTTTTCCTCTTTTAAGCGTTCCCTAAATTACTTTCCACGCTAGTTTATTTTCCATTTTGTTCTCTCTCTTGTTCTCACCAAGGTGGTTGTATTTTTATATTCTTTTTAAATGCAAGTCTTTGGATTTGAGTACTTACATTTCATTGATTAAAAACTCCACCAGCTGAAAGATAAAACACTGAAAAAGCCCAGGTCTCTGCCTGTATGTGTCCTTAAAAGATGAGAGTAATACCTATCTGAATTTCTCAGGTTATCTCAGTCACAAAAGCCATGGATGTGATCAGGATACTTGGATGTTTATTCTTTGCTAACTCAGGGTGGGAAGAAAGCATGCACTGAAACTCAGAAGTTTTCCAGCAAAATGAGATGTGAGTTGTGGTCACCTCCCCGGTTACCTCCTCTGTGGGGGCCTTCACCCACTTCAGCAGCTGCACTGCAGCATAAAATGTAAACTCACAGTTAAGTGGCCTGAGATAATAAGGCATATGAAGGTTGAAACTCTCATTCAAACTTACTGGAGACCAAGTCTGGCTTCAAAACCCACCAAAGAACTCTGCCAATGCACTTCCACCAGCTTCCATTTGGACTTGTCCCAAGCCCACACAGAGCACAATTTAAAGGAATGCGTGGATCACTATGACCGTGTTTGCACATGGGAGAAAAAAAACCCAAGCTCCTTCTGCCAAATAAGTGCAGATGGAAAAAAAAAATCTAATTGTGCTTTCTGGAAATACTGTAGTAATTGGGACTCTGCCTAAGCGCAGACTCTGGAAGAAACAATTTTGTCCCCTCACCAGTGAAATTATCACTGGAGAAGAGAGTCTCTGACATTGCAGAGGGTCAGGCTGCAAGTCTGCGTTGGGGGCTAAATACTTCCCTGCTTGAAACAGGAAAACAAGCATGTAAGAATTTGAATAGAAGACTAGAATAGGACAGGACTATTTCAGTCGGAAGGGACCTACAACAACCATCCAGTCCAACTGCCTAACCAGTTCAGGGCTGACCAAAACTTAAAGCCTGTTGTTAAGGGTACCGCCCAAATGCCTATTCAACACTGACAGCCCTGGGGCATCGATCACCTCTCTAGGAAGCCTGTGCCAGTCTTTGACCGCCCTCTCGGTAAAGAAATGCTTCCTTAATGTCCAGTCTAAACTTTGCCTGGCACAGCTTTGAACCATTCCCACATGTCCTATCACTGGGTCCCAGGGAGAAGAGCTCAGCACCTCTCCACGTCCCCTCCTCAGGAAGCTGCAGAGAGCAATGGGGTCGCCCCTCAGCCTCCTTCTCTCCAAGCCGGACAAGGCCAAAGTCCTCAGCCTCTCCTCCTAGGACGTTCCTTCCAGCCCTGTCACCAGCTTTGTTGCCCTCCCCTGGACGCATTCATGGACCTTCACATCCTTCTTAAGTTGTGGGGCCCAGAACTGCGCACAGCACTCAGGGTGAGGCCACACTCATGCTAAATTTGGGAACTCAAGTGTCAGCGTCCCAAGTACTATTCCTATCTCTTAGGACTCACCTGTGTTGCAAGGCCAGCTTCTCTTGCAACATTTCTCATGGTGCTCCTGATTTTAGTCTTGCCTATACACAGGAAGGAGGGGGTAGAGGGGAAGCTGCTGTCCCTTGCCAAACCCTTTCTCAACACAGACTCAGGCCAGACCCAGTACTAGTCTCCCACTGCCTCTCCACTGCTCCCCACTCAGAAGAGACAAGTTCTCCTGCGCTTCACTGGGAAGGAACTGGATAAAGCAACACAGGGACTCCATCTGAGGTAACGCTGCAGCAAAGGTACTTCCCTCGCTCTACCTGTTCTTGTGTCCAGAGGCAGCAGTGGGTGCTCAGTTTGTAAGCTGACTCCATGACAAGATTCTGACCTAGCAGTGGGGCACAGATCATACTAATGAATAGCTCTGTGGTTCCTTAGAGTAATGTGATGATTACGATGCCTTAACTCCAAGCCTTTGATGCAAATTACACTCAGCTCTGCATTTCACCTAGAGTACAATGACATGGGTGAGATCAAAAAACATGGGGAGCAAATTGGTGTCAAATCCTAAGGGCATCATTTTTGTAAGTGGTTTCTTAGATGAAAATGGTAAAGATCTATATAAAATGTTTAATGGACAATTTGCTTTAATTAGGGTCTAATGCAACCACGAGGCATACATGGGTGAAGCACGGTGTAGAGTTGAATCCATTCCCCACCACGTGAGCCCGAGCACATTCAAAACTGAGCGGTACTACTGAAAGGCTTAGTGTACCCATGCCTATGTGGCAAAACTTGAGGCCAGCGTTGTATCTGGCTAAAAGGAAGAGATCACTTCATCTCTGACAGGTAGTCTGCACAAGCAGACACACAGAATCATTTAAAATAGCTTTTCTTTATCAAAATGCAGTCCTGATGAGGCACAGAGCTAGGAAAAGTTGCATGGTCTCTAAAAGCAGAGGAAAAATGCGACTGCCATCCAATATTCATACAAGACATAAACCATGATTTCGATAACTCTTCACTTACAAGATACGCTCAGTATCTTTCACTGCATTTACTTTTTGATCAACATTTCTTAATTGGAGAAGTGAATACAAGAGTGTAGCCAGATACTGTATGCAATTAATTTAATAGCATCGTCGAACAGCAAATCCACTCCTTTAGAACATGATTATCGGTATGTTTCTTGAACCACGGAGAAACCTACGGGCTCCCCTAAAACAAAATCTTCCACAGGAGCAAGTTTAAAGCAGAACACATTACATCTTTAAGACTGTTGTCATTAAAGGTCTGTTTCAGATCAGAAGCTGGTATTATGGTCATAAAATAAAAACTATTTCTTTAAAACAATTATAGCAAACATTCCCTGAGAATTAAGAATCAGCAACAACTATTGCCAGATTGTTTTTCCTGTAACAGTGCAGAAATATTACAGCACGTTCTTTCCATTCAAAGATCAAGCAGGAAGATTAAAGGCCACAGTTTTTGTTTACTATGTGCATCTCCTGAATGTGCTCGTTTTTCAAGAGAATTAAATCTAGATGCAGCAACCCTCAGCACTCAAGCTAGCCATGATGTAAAGGGAGAGAAGGCAATTAAGAAAAGGTTTAATCCATGCGTTGAGTGTGTGTGTTGAGAATCCCTTCCCCACCCATGCTAGGTTTTCTGAATTTGCCCTTCCCACTGATAGGCTATGGCAGCATTCTGGAATATTCCCTCCCCCCCTCCCAGAAACAGGCTTATAAAATAAATACCCACTACCAAAATGTTCCACTCACTCAGACAAGTTACTTGTAGTCTAAGCAGAAAAGGGAGATAAAGCAGAAGAGTGGAGTAACTATTAAGGTTGAAATAATCAATTTTAATGCCTAAAATTAGATTTTATGGCCCATGGTATTGCTGAAAGCTGTATGCAGCACAGCTTTATCGTTGCATCATTCCTCAGCACACAGAATTAAAGTGCAGTAAACACTTGCAATTTGGTGCAATACACTGTTACAAAAAAAGAAAATCTACTTTTTGTTATTAACTCAGCTTGAGAAGATGGCATTCTGGGTCAGTTTGCATTGACCCAGAAAAATACAAGGTCCTATCAGGATCCAAATTCTCATGCTGTAGAAGAGGTTTCTTTCTTTCTTGCCCTAACACCAAATCAATATATGCATATCTCCCCGTGGCTAACTGCAAATTCCCTGGCTCTTTCTCCAAGATAGCACAACCGTTCTTTCCTTGCAACTTGCAGGTCCTTAGCTCCGCTGAATTCTTTCATTTCTTCAAAGCATCCAGCAGATCTGGCAGTGTCTGGTATTGCTTGATATACGAGTGGTGCAACCCAGAAGTGTCGTTAGCAGGAGACTACGCAAACCCAACCAAAGATCTGCAAAGACCCAACCTGGAAAGAGCCTTTTGATATTAAAGATTGATGATACAGGGTAACAGTAGAAGTGAGACAGCTTTAAGAAGGTAAAAAAGGCTAGCAGGAAACCAGGAGAGAAGTGTAACATACGCCGGTAAAGATGCAGGAGTAGCACAGTTTGATCCTAAAAGAGTATTCAAAGGAGACTGGGAGACTGGAGACACATAAAAACTGAACGCCTCTACTCATCCCAGAAAAACTCAGATGAAGATACCGGCATGTGAGTTGAGGAGTCAAAGTGGGCATGCAAAGTAATCACCATACCTATAACATGTTGGGCGTATTCTTTTAAGTATAATAGCTCGGTCACACTGGATCTGCTATGCTTATACCATGCAGTTAATCCGCATGCACGTAGGTTCAACTGGTCCAGTCATCAGCTCTCCCTTTGGCCAGGCTGTCAGAGGTCCAAAACACTGAATATATGGCCACATTCCCCTTCTATCTCTTAGAAAAACTTTCTAAGTGAAAATAGAAGACAAGTCTAATAAAAAAGATGGCTGCCCTCTCTCTAAATCTTGAGGATTGTGATCCAATTATAGTGTTGTATATATTTTTTTCCTAAGCATTTTCTCTATCATCAGAGTATCTTTCTGCATGACTTCATCAACTGTTTTACTCAAGGAGATCTAAGGGGAAAAACGTATGAAAATAATCTTTACCATCTTTGTGCAGCAACAATCAAAAAGGTCAAATGAATCAGCTGGCTATAAACTATGACATTTACTGTCTATCAAGAGTGTTTGTCATATTGCACAAGAAAATAATGCAACGTGAGTCACAGCAAAACACAGAAATATAAATGCATCCGAGTGACACAAACCTCAGTTGACATTACAGTACTTTACAGTGAAAAGCCACTATTTTCTTCACTACGGTGACATTATTTCAAAATACACTGCCAGTTACTTTTATTCTTTATAAGGATCAAGAAGATTCAGGCCCCTGCTCTCATCATTAGTCAGACAGTCCACAAAATTGTGTTGGTGATTCTACTCTAAAGACACCAGCTCATACCTGCTATGGCCACTCTTCAGCCATTCAGTAGCTGTTGAATGTTTTGATGGCTTAAGTACTACCTGTACAGTAAGCCAAGCCCTAAAATCTCCAAATGCTTAAGTGCACAACACTCTGTTCAAGCTGCATTTTACTTAAAAAGAGACACCAAGATTAGTAACACAGTTGACACTTTAGCACAAGTCTGGTTGTGGGGGAAGAGAGAAAGGCTCCTGGTTTGTCAGATCTTCTTCACTTCCTAGACAGGAACTGCCAGGCACGATGGTGTATAGATCTTGACTAGTTCGTCCCAAGCACAGTCCACCACCTACAAAGGAAACAGAATCTATTTAGATCCTTCATAAGCGTCATTTTTACAAAAAGCAGAAGGAACTTAGAAGAATTAAGTTAATGCTGGTTGGTACTCTGATTTACAATGCTTCAAAATTACATAATAATGCAGTTGATTTTGTTTTGGTTTTTTAAAACTTTGTCTTAACTTCACTGAGGTGCATGAAAATTAAAAATCTCCTATTTGTCATACTCCCTGTGAAGAAAGCAGGGAAACCCTTTGATCCAAACAGACTAAAGAACGTAACTGAGAATGAAATGAAGGAAGGACACACAAAAGTCCAGAGCCCGGGGCATTTCTTCTCTTTACAGGGTCTTAAGACTCTTTTACTATGATATCTAAACACTTCATGATCAAATCTGAACAACTTTCTTATACTTGCAGGTAGGGAAAATTGTTAGAGACATTTTCCTAATGGAGAGCTTGAGGAATGGAATACCAAAGAAGTTGACCAAAACAACGCAGGAAGTTTCTTGAAGAATTAAGCCAGAACTTCACTCTCACACTGATAAAGCTATGAGATTGCTGTATTTTCTTTTGTTGAGAGGAGAGATGTCTATTTGCTGAGCACTGAGAATTGGGGTGGGGGGTGGGGGGTGGGTGTGTGGTAGCAGTGGTGTTGCTTCAAGGACTACCTAGACCCCACTAGTCTGAGGAGAAGTGATGCCACTTGTGCCAATGGCATCTTACAAACACAGCGACTGATTCCAATGGAACCGAAACTTTTCTGAACTGCAAGTCCCAAGCTCTATTCTAGATGCTGGTTTGAACCCAAAATCACAAAACCAGAAGGCTAACCTAATTCTATAGCATTAAAAGATTTTAATAAATAACAAGATTCCACAGAAGACTGCTACAGAATACTTTAGGTTTGAAAATAATTTGATAATGTACTTTAGATAACAAAGTGAAAGGGTTAACCACACCAACAATTACTCAAGTAGATGACCTGTAATACATATTCACAAAAGGCTGTGGGAGACAAGAACTAAGGCAAAGGGAAGAAGAAAGAGAGCTAGAGAGAAAAAGCTGATGAGCCCTGCAAATATATGCCAGTAAATCTGGCTGAATCTGTCCTGCATTGTCTTTACAATGTTCTTTCCAGTTGGGATCACAAAGGATACAGTATTGGATCCTCTGCACAAGCTTCCTTCTGCTACAGACTGCAATTCCTGTTCTCTTCTAGAGCCAGAATGAACAGCTGCACAGTAAAAATTTGGAAATCCAACTTCAATATTTGATTTCAGACCATAATTAGCCCATTTTGTGTTTACTATACAGCACTATTATTCATTTTTATGGCTTCCTTAGCTGGTTCTACTTAGTTATTTGAAGTGCTTTCCACATACATCTAAATGGATCAAAAAATCTCTTTGACAACGTGTCTGTCTATTCATACGACATAATAGAGCTTTGTGTAATTTAATGTTCTGCTGCATTGCAGTCCCCCAAATCACACCAAAAGGAAAATTTGAGTTCTCTGCTAAACACTATGTAGAAACTGGCAATCACATAAACCACTTCTTTTTAATATTCTCCACAGCTCTGGATCAATATCTGTATTTCCATAGGCAACACTTTCTACTTTCATAAAGAAGCAAGAAGCAGAGATAACATTTGGACAAAATCCCATGGGAATTCCCACCTGTTATCAATGTAATTAGCATCCTTGAAGTAGACTCTGAACAAATATAGTTACAGAACCATTTAATCTAGCAACACTAAAAATAAACAGGGGATATTAAAAGGGAGTTTGAAAAGGATCACTTGCAGTAATTTGCCCAACTCATTGACTTAATGATAGCACATGAAAGATGAAAACACAACCAGCAAACAAAAGGAAAATAAAAGCTACAGCAAATAACAGTGTATCAAGTTCTCCTGTGCAGCAGGAAGTCTATAATGGAATACTGGTATCAGTAACCTTGATGAAATTACACATGCAGAGAACAGCAAACAGGAATGTATGGCAAACTGGGACGCTACAGCATGGAACAGCATTGCAAAATGCAATAGCGTTTCCATTTCTCCGTAATACTTTCTACAAAATACAGCCAAGACTGTAAGAAAGGGGACAACGGTAAGCTAACAGCGTGGCAGCCAGCATTAACCGATGGACAGCTGCTACGTGCCCCTCTACAGTATCTCATAGATTATCACTGCCTCAAATACAAATGACTAAAATGAACCCTAGGATAAAGAAGGTGCCTGCTCATGCAGCTACTGCGTCAGTTTACAAAATACTGTCTTTAATTTTGCCTTTTTTCTTATGACCGTTGTATGCCTTTCCCCAGAAGAGGGGAACGTAGAATACTGAATATAAGTGCTTTAAAATAATTAGAAATGTCAGTTCTTGTGTGACATATGAACACTTTTAATGCATATTTTAAAGCACTTTGGCTACTTTTCTTTTAATAAACTAAATGCTACTTAACTTAAATAGTAAAATAGCAGCAGGAATTCCATTAGGATGAGGGCTGATCCAGCACACCACAGTAAATAAATATGGCATAAAAAAAGCCACAGGTTCCTAGAGTTTATATTTTGATCAATGAGATGACGTTTCTAACAGGCAGATAAAATCCTCCTGTGGTAAGATGAAGGACAAAGGAAAATTGAAAATGGGCTCACACATTGTTTGTGTACCTGATAAAAGTCTTTGCCATTAGGAACACGAAGGCATGGAGGTTTGTCTTTCTGTGACAGTGGCCACTGTCTTGTGGACAAATTTTACTCTCAGATTGAAACAAATCTCACCCATTTCAGTAGAATGTGCATTATTTACATCTTTTTTTTTTTTAAGCTGACACGCAAACAGAGTAGAAGCCAGTTTATTTCAGTTGCAAATAACTGTATGAATTATAATATCCTCATACTATTGAATATTTTGGACACCTGTATGCCATACAATTTTCATTATCACTTATGAATACTAAATTGCTTTTGTAACTATAGAATAAAATTCTACTGTCGCAACTTTTAACTATCAGAAATTGCAAGGAAAAGGAGAATAACTAGAGCTTAACTGTAAAACAAGAATATTCTACCTTATACAGTCCGGTAAATTACATCAGGAAATAGTGCAAATAGAAAAAGCATTCTAAACCTGGTAATTTTAATTATAACTAAAGCTATATGGGACAAAAGCAGTCTAACAAAATTACATTTACTACTTGTCTCTAATGCTTTTATTTCAGTACCAAAGTTGCAATACTCTAGTACATATGCTAGGGGTATTGTACCGTTATTACTGCAGAATAAACATCATGCCAAGTTATCTGCCAGTAGAGATTTAAGCAAGTCTAAGCACATAAAATGGGGATCACCGTATTTCCCTTCAAGTAAAACCAAAAAGCAAGCCAACAAGCAAACAGAAAACGGCAGTCATCACAGGAAGCTGATTGCTTGACTAGAAAATCATAGTTTAACTCAAATGAAACAGCTATCCTGTATTTTATTGAAGTGTTTATCCTTGTCCCAGAGTATAACAATGTTTCCCACCAATTGATTTAATATTGACATCCATTCATTTATCAAAGCCATTTCCATTGACTCACTAACTGATTTACTCCTCTGAAAGGCCCTCAGTTTCCTATTCATTGCAATCATCTTGCTCTGCAATAGATATAGACCTTTTCCAGCACCTGAGGGCAATCCATTCAGTTCAGTGCAATTACCTGCGTGACGTTCTGCCTCTTTACTGTTCAGAAGCAGCAAGAAAACAAGAGAAATCTCCCAAGTTAGTAGCTAACTTTTTTCAATATTTGAAGGCGTAATAAACTCCCAAGCCCTAACCAAGATTAAATACATTGAAAAGAACAACTAAAAACTTTGAGTTCAGTAACCCCTTTACGAAGGGCTTTAATCAGAAGAAAGTCCAGCGCTCTCTGGATGAGTATTTCTGGAAGTATCCTGGTGCCACTCAGCTTCCCGAGTCCTCATAATAAATCACAGGATAATACGCAAATGTGTCCGAGAGTGACCCATTTAGCTTCTCAGCTCTTCTCCATCCCATCCCATTTTCAAATAAAACTAATAAGACCTGTCTTTTTTTTCTGTAGAAGAGACAGCGGAAAAAGTATTCAATTCTTCACTTCCATTAATGTTGTGCTTCCCTTCCTCTTTTAGTTTCTTATCTTCTGTGTCTTTTCATACAGAATTTAATGGTCTATCTATATCATTATTATGTATTTTGAGGGGTCCTGAGCATCCTCTGTAAGCATGTGGGATGGAGATTAAGTGGAGATAAAGTAAGCTATTACGTTTGCTACTCATCAAATTACTTTCACAGGTGATCATTAAAACTGGTTGGTTAAATACATAATGGATCGAGCACGCATGAGTTTAAATGCATTCAGTACCTATTTTGTACTAGCAAATCCAAACCACTGGTGTGGCCTTTTGTTTGGTCAACAGTTGCCAGGGTGAACTGCACACAACGCCTACCTGTACACAAGACTGAAAGTAATGTGAGCTTGTAAATTAAACCTTTTTATTTTCAATGTGCAACAACACCAACCATTTTTTAATTTACTTTTGGAAAAACACATTGATTTCATTATTATTTTCAGTAAAGACAGAATAAAACAAACCCAGGACCAGAATTTCTTATAAAGATCAAGGGTCAAACTATGGTTATCAGAAACAGATGTTCCAAATACTGCTTAAGAAATCCATTTCTTTCTTAAGGAGAGAAAAGATAAAACACTTGAGGGGCATTATTTTTCAGATTGCAAAGATATGCCACAAAGAACTGATCTAAAAAAACAGGGAGCTGTCTCAACATTTGTTTCATTGCTCTGACATGAGCAACAGGAAGATGACTTGGTAGTTGTGTTACAGATTTCTAAACCCCAAGTCTTCTGAGTGTGCATTTATCAGTAAGATGTAAAGGAAATTGAGAGTTGCAGGTTGGAGAGAAATCCTTAGAATCTCCACAGAAATTGTAGCAATTCCTCTGTACTCTACAGATAAGG